ATTATATCACAGGCAGAGGGGAGGATCTTTGTATGTAATTGCTGGGAGTGTTTCTGTAATGTACGTTTATGATTGGTTGTTGTGTAAAACCCTGTGGGTGGTCCTATCTCAGGGAAACCTGCATAAAAGAAGGTTCTTGGTGTGCTAATAAACAGATCATCTTGTACCTTCATGAAGTTTCGGCTCATGTTTGGGGGATTGGAGAAACTACACTCTGGGGATTGCTATAATCACTATACTCCCTAGGGTATAATCACTAAGCTCTGCTAAGAGCTTGTTCCTGTTCCTGCTCTCTGCTCCCTGCTCCCTAATTCGGAGAGAGGTCGACCTACTGGAAGCTGGACCCTGGTCCTGGAGACGGCGAGACCCCAACCAAGCTGCGGCGGTTCGTGGGGTCTGCAGTGGTTATGGTGTCAGGCAGAGTGCTTGGAGTCCTCGGAAAGCACTAGGAGCATCCGTCGGCGGAAGGTACCCGGTCGGGGTGCCAGCGGTTCCATTACAAACGTAAAACATGAATTACTAACAACGTGGGTGTAGGAAAAAGAACTGATTACTAAGATACAGTGGCTATGGTTTTTTATATTTAGACATAGTTAACCGGAAAACACAGTTTAGGTGATAAATGGTTGTAGTTTTTTTAAATGTATTTTATAACTCCTACTGACAGGTAGTACAAATAGTTAAATAACGGAACAGACAGTATATGTAATAAAGTGAATTCGTGTGCACGAAATGTTTGTATTATACTGAACGGGGATCGGTAGTTTTAGCCGAACGTGGGAACTGCTGAGGTTAAGTATAATGTGCGTTTGTTTACTCCCGCGTGAATAGCATGAATTAGGTAAGTTAGCGAGGGGTGAACAGGTTTTTACACAATTCGTTTAAAGTGCCCGAACTGGTAAGTAATAAGTACATGGTTTGTGCGTATGACCGAACGGTAAAACAGGATTGAAACGATTAGCCTTAGAGTTATGCTCGTACGTAGTTCGGCAGTTAGATCATGCGAAAGCCCCCATGAAACGTAAATATAGCGAGCGTTCGTCTAGTTTAGTGGGGCGAACGCGGAAATGCACGAATAGGTAAGTATACGTAAATTGGTAATGTGATAGAAAAAAGGGAGCCCACCCATACGTTTTTAGGCCCGAATGGAGGGAAATAGCCGAACGCTATTTCCCTCACAAGCTTACGTGAGCGTGCCGGTCTCATGACCGGAAGCCAAGTACCGAGGCCGGGAAGAAGGCTGGTGGCAGGGCTGCAGGACGGACGGACGGAGGATTCCACTGGACACCTCTTACTGCAGGAGACTGGAGTCGTTTGGCAGGAAAACTCGGACCGGAATAGCTGGTTGCTATGGAGATAGACAATCAACTGAACCGGCAGAGGTGGGTAGGGGCTGGGAGTTTAAGTAGGGGACTTACTCCTCCCACAAATTCAGGCCTAATGGCCTTTCTACATATATATATATAATAAGCAGGCTCTGTGCAGTGCTGTGTATATATATATATATATATATATATATATATATAAATAAGAAGGCTCTATGATGTGTGTATGTATATATATATATATATATATATAAATAAGCATGCTCTGTGCTGTGTGTATGTGTATATATATATATATATATATATATATATATATATATATGTACAGTTGCAAGAAAAAGTATGTGAACCCTTTGGAATGATATGGATTTCTGCACAAATTGGTCATAAAATGTGATCTGATCACCTAAGTCACAACAATAGACAATCACAGTCTGCTTAAACTAATAACACACAAAGAATGAAATGTTGCCATGTTTTTATTGAACACACCATGTAAACATTCACAGTGCAGGTGGAAAAGTATGTGAACCCTAGACTAATGACATCTCCAAGAGCTAATTGGAGTGAGATGTCAGCCAACTGGAGTCCAATCAATGAGATGAGATTGGAGGTGTTGGTTACAGCTGCACTGCCCTATAAAAAACACACACCAGTTCTGGGTTTGCTTTTCACAAGAAGCATTGCCTGATGTGAATGATGCTTCGCACAAAAGGGCTCTCAGAAGAACTACGATCAAGAACTGTTGACTTGCATTAAGCTGGAAAGGGTTATAAAAGTATCTCCAAAAGCCTTGCTGTTCATCAGTCCGCGGTAAGACAAATTGTCTGTAAATGGAGAAAGTTCAGCACTGCTGCTACTCTCCCTAGGAGTGGCCGTCCTGTAAAGATGACTGCAAGAGCACAGCGCAGACTGCTCAATGAGGTGAAGAAGAATCCTAGAGTGTCAGCTAAAGACTTACAAAAGTCACTGACAAATGCTAACATCCCTGTTAGCGAATCTACAATATGTAAAACACTAAACAAGAATGGATTTCATGGGAGGATACCACAGAGGAAGCCACTGCTGTCCAAACAAAACATTGCTGCACGCTTACAGTTTGCACAAGAGCACCTGGATGTTCCACAGCAGTACTGGCAAAATATTCTGTGGACAGATGAAACCAAAGTTGAGTTGTTTGGAAGAAACACACAACACTATGTGTGGCGAAAAAAAGGCACAGCACACCAACATCAAAACCTCATCCCAAGGGGGCGGGGCCTGACTGCCATGGAGGGAAGACGTGCCTAACTGAAGCTCTTGACTAAGCTGAGAAAAAAACACCAAAAAGGCATCTCCAAACCTCATGAAACGGCACACACTAACCTTAAGCGACGACCTGGTACTCAGTCCACACGGTGAACCGGTGATGCGGACCGTGAACGGACAACAGGCAACAGGCTTTACCCGCGGAGGCATACGGCCGGGAGCGCAATGGCGGGGAGCGGCGGCCGAGTTCCCAGTCTGGAGCGGCCCGAGAGCTGAGCGCCACACGCGAGTACCCCGCAACCCCCCCCTATGGACCGGTGGGTGATGAAACCAAAGTTGAGTTTGGAAGAAACACACAACACTATGTGTGGCGAAAAAAAGGCACCGCACACCAATATCAAAACCTCATTCCAACTGTGAAGTATGGTGGTGGGGGCATCATGGTTTGGGGCTGCTTTACTGCGTCAGGGCCTGGACGGATTGCTATCATCAAAGGAAAAATTAATTCCAAAGTTTATCAAGACATTTTGCAGGAGAACTTAAGGCCACTGTGAATGTTTACAGGGTGTGTTCAATAAAAACATGGCAACATTTCATTCTTTGTGTGTTATTAGTTTAAGCAGACTGTGATTGTCTATTGTTGTGACTTAGATGATGATCAGATCACATTTTAAGACCAATTTGTGCAGAAATACATATCATTCCAAAGGGTTCACATACTTTTCCTTGCAACTGTATATATAAATAAGCAGGCTCTGTGCAGTGCTGTGTGTATGTGTGTGTGTGTGTGTGTGTGTATATATATATATATATATATATATATATATATATATAGTAGGCTCTGTGCAGTGTGTGTATATATATAAATAAGCAGGCTCTGTGCTGTGATGTGTGTATGTATGTATATAAGCAGGCTCTGTGCTGTGATGTGTGTATGTATATATATATAAGCAGGCTCTGTGCTGTGATGTGTGTATGTATGTATATAAGCAGGCTCTGTGCTGTGATGTGTGTATGTATGTATATAAGCAGGCTCTGTGCTGTGATGTGTGTATGTATATATATATATAAGCAGGCTCTGTGCTGTGCTGTGATGTGTGTATGTATGTATATAAGCAGGCTCTGTGCTGTGATGTGTGTATGTATATAAATAAGCAGGCTCTGTGCTGTGATGTGTGTATGTATATATATAAGCAGGCTCTGTGCTGTGATGTGTGTATGTATATAAATAAGCAGGCTCTGTGCTGTGATGTGTGTATGTATGTATATAAGCAGGCTCTGTGCTGTGATGTGTGTATGTATGTATATATATAAGCAGGCTCTGTGCTGTGATGTGTGTATGTATGTATATATATAAGCAGGCTCTGTGCTGTGATGTGTGTATGTATATATATATAAGCAGGCTCTGTGCTGTGATGTGTGTATGTATATATATATAAGCAGGCTCTGTGCTGTGATGTGTGTATGTATATATATAAGCAGGCTCTGTGCTGTGATGTGTGTATGTATGTATATATATAAGCAGGCTCTGTGCTGTGATGTGTGTATGTATGTATATAAGCAGGCTCTGTGCTGTGATGTGTGTATGTATGTATATAAGCAGGCTCTGTGCTGTGATGTGTGTATGTATATATATATAAGCAGGCTCTGTGCTGTGATGTGTGTATGTATGTATATAAGCAGGCTCTGTGCTGTGATGTGTGTATGTATGTATATAAGCAGGCTCTGTGCTGTGATGTGTGTATGTATATATATATAAGCAGGCTCTGTGCTGTGATGTGTGTATGTATGTATATATATATAAGCAGGCTCTGTGCTGTGAACTAAAAAAGCAAACTAAAGCAAAAAATATTAGCTTTGATATTAATGAGTTTTAGGTTCTGTGAGAACATAGTTGTTGTTCAATAATAAAAGTAATCCTCAAAAAATACAACTTGCCTAATAATTCTGCACTCCCTGTATATATAAGCAGGCTCTGTGCTGTGATATTGTATGTATATATATATATATATATATATATATATATATATATATATAAGCAGGCTCTGTGCTGTGATGTGTGTATGTATGTATATAAGCAGGCTCTGTGCTGTGATGTGTGTATGTATGTATATATATAAGCAGGCTCTGTGCTGTGATGTGTGTATGTATGTATATATATAAGCAGGCTCTGTGCTGTGATGTGTGTATGTATGTATATATATATAAGCAGGCTCTGTGCTGTGATGTGTGTATGTATATATATATAAGCAGGCTCTGTGCTGTGATGTGTGTATGTATATATATAAGCAGGTTCTGTGCTGTGATGTGTGTATGTATGTATATATATAAGCAGGCTCTGTGCTGTGGTCCCCCTATTTCACCCAGACATTGGCTGCCTCCCTCTCCTCCATGTGACAGGTCTGTGTCCCTCCCCTTCTCAGATCCCTCTCTCCCCAGTCTGCACTGCAGCCTGTCACCCTCCGAAGGGCTGCACCAGTCTCTCTGTCTGTACTGGAATAGAGCTGCTCCCCACTATCACCCTCTGCTAAAACCCTGCTAAATGCCTCTCCCAGGACCCTGGCTCAGCGCTGCAGGGATGATTGTGGGAGGCTGTGTCTGGCTGCTTTTCCTCCTGGACATGGGGCATCAGGAGACTGACATCAACTAGAAAGGACTCAACAGGGGGAAATAATAAGTGGGGGGAGAAGGGGTGGGGGAGGTGGGTGACATTGATTCACTAGGGAGGAGGAGGTCGCAGCAGTTCTGGATTCTCTGGAATTCTCTCTCCTTTTCTCGCTTTGATCTCCCTGGATTTGACCCAGCGGGGTGAAAACTGGATTTTGCCCCTCGTTTCAAGGGTAACCGTAAATCTGATTACAGCAGGGGCCCCTTCTGAGAGCAGCATGGAGTCCGTGGATAAGGAATGCGGGGCGCTAGGGGGTCTCTTCCAGGCCATCATCAATGACATGAAGGTAAGCTGGGAGCTCTGCGAATATTGCAATGCTGGGAGCTCTGTGAATATTGAAATGCTGGGAGCTCTGCGAATATTGCAATGCTGGGAGCTCTGTGAATATTGAAATGCTGGGAGCTCTGCGAATATTGCAATGCTGGGAGCTCTGACTATTGCAATTCTAGGAGCTCTACGAATATTGCAATTCTGGGAGCTCTGAATATTGCAATTCTGGGAGCTCTGTGAATATTGCAATGCTGGGAGCTCTGCGAATATTGCAATTCTAGGAGCTCTGTGAATATTGCAATGCTGGGAGCTCTGCGAATATTGCAATTCTAGGAGCTCTGCGAATATTGCAATTCTAGGAGCTCTGCGAATATTGCAATGCTGGGAGCTCTGCGAATATTGCAGTTCTAGGAGCTCTGTGAATATTGCAATTCTGGAAGCTCTGTGAATATTGCAATTCTAGGAGCTCTGTGAATCACGATTTGCTGCATTGTTAATGGCATCGCTAGAGGCTGCACAGCTCGATCCAATGGAAGGACAAATTACACTCACATTGGGCAGTGCCCGCTGCTTGGCACCGCTAGGGGACTGCGTCTCAGGACATTTTATGGGCACAGCTCTGTCACCCAGATAAATGGGGATGGATCATTTCTTTAAATCCTGGCAGATTGGGGGAGGGATCCGACACGGGGCTGGCTCCCTGGTATTTGGCAACTGTGTGCAATTCAGAGATGGTAGCCTGGGTTTCAGAGGCCACTCATTACTGCCCCATCTATTAACCCATCTCTGCCCCTGGGTACCAGGTAAGCCATCTCGCTGAGTAGGGAAGATCCCCTTTCATGCAGAGGATCTGTTAACTCTTGCACATGTGTCTTCTAGGGCAAGGTCTATTAACCCCATTCACAGCTGCCACATCCATAGCCAGATGTGAGCTGATCAAAACCCTTCTTCCTCTGCATAAAGATCAAGGTCACTATGTTGCCTGTGCCTTTCGTCCTTGCACCTGCTCAGGCGCTGCCATTGGTGTGTGGGTATCAGGGGAGCAGTGCTAGAGGCAGGGGCTCTGGTTTCAGGAGAGAGGCATACCGACAGAAAGCACATTAGGGACGTGTCTGATTGCGGATCACCCTGTGTGCATGGGGGCATTAAATGAGCTCCTGCAGAAACCAATTAGAATCAAGGATGGAAGAAAGAAACATGCACTGATAGAAAAGACCACTGTACAACACTACATTGATATCTGCCAAAGCTTGATCAATTGCCAGCTCCATCAAAATCATGGCTACTACACACAATCACATACAAAACACAGACTCTGCGCTCATGGCTGATAGGGGCGCAGACCGGGGTGAATGGGGAATGTGGGTTGGCACAATTAGATTAGCCATTATTGGTCTGGGTGCTGGAGGTACAGATGAGGGGGGAGTGTAGGATGGCATGGTTAGATTAGCCATTATTAGTCTGGGTGCTGGGGGGTACAGATGAGGGAGGAGTGTAAGTTGGCATTGTGTGATTAGCCATTATTAGTCTGGGTGCTGGGGGTACAGAGGAGGGAGGAGTGTAGGATGGTACGGTTAGATTACCCATTATTGATCTGGGTGCTGTGGGTACAGATGAGGGGGAGTGTAGGATGGCATGGTTAGACTAGCCATTATTAGTCTGGTGCTGGGAGTACAGATAAGGGAGGAGTGTTGGTTGGCATGGTGTGATTAGCCTTTATTAGTCTGGGTGCTGGGGGTAAAGATGAGGGGAGTGGGGCAGGTTGGCATGATGTGATTAGCGATTATTAGTCTGGGTGCTGGCGGCAAAGATGAGGGGGAGTGTAGGATGGCATGGTTAGATTAGCAAATATTAGTCTGGGTGCTGGGGGTACAGATGAGGGGGAGTGTAGGATGGCATGGTTAGATTAGCCATTGGTGCTGGGGGTACACATGAGGGTGGAGTGTAGCTTGGCATGGCATAATTACCCTTTAGTAGTCTGGATTAAAAGTGCAAATGTGGATACAGCTTGGGCGTTTAACCGCCTAACTCCCACATGTTTATTCAATGCCTAGGATTTGCAGAAACAGATCTGATATTGTCAAAGCTTTCTGCAGTTTATACACATCAGTCCTACAAACCATATTATTGACCCTCATACCAGTCCACTGGTGAATGGCACCGTTATATAGGGAAGTGTTTACATAAACCCTCCCTTACACTCCAACAATCACAGGTAATACATTGAACTCGGAAATGTAGAAAATTACCAGCAACTTTGCCATTCAGAATTATCCTCATTTTATCGCTGAAGTGGTGTCATTTGTGTTTTAATTTACTGCATTTTATAGTTTAGTAAATAATGTCATTCTTTCTTAATTCTGTACATGGGGCAGACACAACATATACCTGATGAGCTTACAGTCTAAACATAAGTGGATGTGAACTGTGGTGCTGATGGTGGGTTAGCAATGTATCCACCTACAGCTGGCTATGGTATTAATGGAGGGTTACTGTGAGTAGCCAGCTTCAATTTATAGATGAGAGGAAGGATTTCTGGCACTTGTTTTGTATAAATTTGGCAGCTGATACTTCCCAAACCTTCCCAAAGTCTCTTCTTTCGGGACGTAGAATAGGTGATACTGGAAAGGGGTGTTGGGAAGCAGCACCTTCGGGGTGCTCACAGATCCGTACAGGTGTAAAAAAGAGCAAGAGATTGAATATAGTGTAATATTTCTTTAGACTGGTAAATATAAAGATAAAGGAAAAACACTCACAATTTTTTGGAGCTTTTGAGAAAGCAAGTGTTTTTTAAGCTGTATTTTGGTTTAAGTTGTCTTTAAATAGAAATAGTTTTTACTGATATTGGGCTTTCCCGATTTTACCATTGAAGATTTTATCTGGAGGATTCACCCTTTTATTTCCTTGGTGGGAAGATACCACCTATGCTGTATGGGATTGAGCAAAACCTGGCTTGCTCTCTATATGTGAGTATACCTACTTTTATTACTTTCTTTTTATATATAACAGAGAGTAATAAATCCGGTTTTATTTTCATTTCTATATTGGAGAATTTCACACTGCAATTGATGATAAATACACCCACTCGTGACACCAAAGCGACCCACTCTCAAAGGACCAGAAGCACCTACATATCCACCGGCGGGGAACATACCGCCCAGGCGTATACATCTGGAGATGATCATAAATTCCAGAAAGTTGAGTGTTTTTCCTTTATTCTTATATTCACCAGTTTAAGGAAATATTACACTGTATTCGATCTCTTGCTCTATTTTACATATACCACGCAACACCTATACGGACCTGTAAGCACCCTGAAGGCGCTGCTTCCCTACACCCCTTTCCAGCTTCAATTTATGGCTAACTGGAAATGAAGAAAAATCCCAGGCTAAAACCACTGACACAGGAATGGTGAATCCCAGGCTAAAAAACCACCGACCACACGGGAATGGTGAATCCCAGGCTAAAATAACCCTGACACGGGAATGGTGAATCCCAGGCTAAAACCACCGACACGGGAATGGTGAATGAATAACCCACAGGCTAAAATAACCCACCACATGGGAATGGTGAAGAGGCTAAAACCACCGACACGGGAATGGTGAATCGCAGGCTGAATGGTGAATCCCAGGCTAAAACCACCGACACGGGAATGGTGAATCCCAGACTAAAATAACCCACATGGGAATGGTGAATCCCAGACTAAAATAACCCACATGGGAATGGTGAATCCCAGACTAAAATAACCCACATGGGAATGGTGAATCCCAGACTAAAATAACCCACATGGGAATGGTGAATCCCAGACTAAAATAACCCACATGGGAATGGTGAATCCCAGACTAAAATAACCCACATGGGAATGGTGAATCCCAGACTAAAATAACCCACACGGGAATGGTGAATCCCAGACTAAAATAACCCACACGGGAATGGTGAATCCCAGACTAAAATAACCCACACGGGAATGGTGAATCCCAGACTAAAATAACCCACATGGGAATGGTGAATCCCAGACTAAAATAACCCACATGGGAATGGTGAATCCCAGGCTAAAACCACCGACACGGGAATGGTGAATCCCAGGCTAAAATAACCCACATGGGAATGGTGAATCCCAGACTAAAATAACCCACATGGGAATGGTGAATCCCAGACTAAAATAACCCACACGGGAATGGTGAATCCCAGACTAAAATAACCCACACGGGAATGGTGAATCCCAGACTAAAATAACCCACACGGGAATGGTGAATCCCAGGCTAAAATAACCCACACGGGAATGGTGAATCCCAGACTAAAATAACCCACACGGGAATGGTGAATCCCAGACTAAAATAACCCACACGGGAATGGTGAATCCCAGGCTAAAATAACCCACATGGGAATGGTGAATCCCAGGCTAAAATAACCCACATGGGAATGGTGAATCCCAGACTAAAATAACCCACACGGGAATGGTGAATCCCAGGCTAAAATAACCCACACGGGAATGGTGAATCCCAGGCTAAAATAACCCACACGGGAATGGTGAATCCCAGACTAAAATAACCCACACGGGAATGGTGAATCCCAGGCTAAAATAACCCACACGGGAATGGTGAATCCCAGGCTAAAATAACCCACACGGGAATGGTGAATCCCAGACTAAAGTAACCCACACGGGAATGGTGAATCCCAGACTAAAGTAACCCACACGGGAATGGTGAATCCCAGACTAAAATAACCCACACGGGAATGGTGAATCCCAGGCTAAAATAACCCACACGGGAATGGTAAAGCTGATAATACCTTCCCTGCACAAGCAAGGAGACAACGTTTCCATGTACATGTGATATTCTGACACTTACCTACACTAGGACCCAACTATTCCTTTTACTTACTCTGCCAGATCATTAAATTGGAGGGCAGAAACACATTATGTCAATATACATGGACTTCTCCTTCATTACCAGCAAATAAATGGCTTTGTCAGAGCATTCCCTCCACACCCTGCAGGATTTACAGTTATTTTATA